GGTGGGGGGTGGGGGGAAGCATCCATTATTAATCACTAGGAAGTGGCATCAGTAAAAAACAAAAGCTAAGCGCTCCAGCCTGTGCCAGAGTAAGATTCTATGGCATAAGGTGTAAAAATATAAGATCTTGTCTATAGTTTGGCATCTTATTCACTCATGGAAGTTCAGAACAAGCTAGAGGTACAGTAGACATCATCTTTGTGTTTTCTGAAGCGACTTTGGACTAAATACATAGTTTTAAAATACTGCAACTGGAGAGGTGTAGAAGATCAGTTCTAAGCCACTGGGAAGAGAGGGCTTGGAATTACAATGTTGAAACCCATTCCTAGAAGTTTATATTGACTAATTTAACAGAAGGGAAAAGTGCAAGTATGATGATGCCAGCTTGAGTTAGATGAGACCTTGCCTCAAACAAGCCCAGGGAGGAGGTAGTCGATGTGTGTCTTTTTTTGGGGGGGGTGTATCATGCTGTTTTTGTTTCTAAGGCTCTGTGGCATGATTTGAAATTAGGTATTATGATGTCTCCATATTGCTCTTTTTGCTCTGGATTTCTGTGGTTGGTTATTTGGGGACTTCTGTGCTTTCATGTGAATTTTAGGATTGTTTTTCTCTAGTTCTATGAATAATGTCACTGGAATTTTTAAAAGCATTTATTCTTTCACAATTACATACATACACCTATACATACAATGTACTTTGATCCCCCCCCCATTATCCTCTCTGATCCCCTTCCTCTTGTCATTGGAATTTTATTGGGAATTGCACTGATTCTGTAAATTGCTTTCAGTAATATAATTTTATTTATTTTATTTATTTATTTTATGTGTATGAGTGTATTGCGTGCATGTATGTGAGTACACCCATGTCGTGCAATGCCGCGGAGGTCATAAGAGGGCTTCAGATTCCCCTGGAACTGGAGTTAAGGATGGTTCATAGCCGTCATGTGGGTGCTGGGAATCGAACCCAGGTCCTCTGCAAGAGCAGTCAGTGCTCTTAACTGTTGAGCCATCTCTCCAGCTCCAAGTAATACAGATTTTTAAAAAAATATTAATTTTGTGAATCCATGAGCACAGGAGTCTTTTTATCGTTTAGTGTTTTCTTCACTTTCTTCAGTGTTTTAAAGTTTATAGCACAGAGATCATTCATCTTCTTGTTTATTCTTAAAGCTTTTTGCTTTCTCTTGAAACTATTGTTAATGAGATTTGAGTGTGTATGTCTGTGTAGTGTCTGTGTGTTTATGTGTTTATATGTGTGCATGCATGTGTATGAGTGCACATTCATGTGGAGACCAGAGATTCACATCTCCAATCCAAAGACAGATCATTTTAATAGATTCAGAAAATGTCACTGACAAAGTTAAGCATCTCTTCATGAATCAACTAGGAATAGAAGTAACGTACCTCAGCATAGTAAAGGTTATGTTAGAAAAGCATGAGGACCTGAGTTTGGATCACCAGCACCCATGTGGAAAGCTAACCTCATGCTGCTGTCACAAAACACATGGGGATGAACCATCCCACACATGCCTTTGGTTTGCATTTAGATACAGTATGAACATAAGGGTTTTTTAAAAATACTTTATTTATTATTTTTATGTGTATGCATGTATTGTCTGCATGTAGGTTAAGTGCACCCATGTCATGCAATGCCCACGGAGGTCAGAAGAGATTGTCGGATCCCCTGAAACTGGAGTTACAGACAGTTGTTAGCTGCCATGTGGGTGCTGGGATTTGAACCCGGGTCTTCTGCAAGAACAGTCAGTGTTCTTAACCACTGAGCCATCTCTCCAGCCTGAACATACAAAGCATACCTTACTGTTTGGGGTCTGAAGAGTTTTTCAGACCTGGGATGAGATACAGGATATAAGGGTATAAACTATGACTACAACTATGAAAGGCAGAAACCACTTCCACGTGGCAGTAGTGAGAACAGTCCAAGGACTGGAATCAACTCAGGCTCAGGAATCCTAAACTCAGGCTCAAGTCTAACCAAGGTCATGAAGACTAAACATCAGAAGCTAAAGCAGCAGCCCAATGGTGCCCTTCGGGAGGAACAATGGCATTTTGAAGTGGGTCTGGAGGTAAGAGTGCAAACGCAGCCCCTGCTGCTTTGCTTCTTTAAAACTGTAAGCAGAGCTGGACTGGCAGCACATGCCTTTAAATTTCAGCACTCGGGAGGCAGAGGCAGGCAGATCTCTGTGAGATCAAGGACAGCTTGGTCTGCATAACAAGTTCTAGGCCAGCTGGGCTACAGGGAGACCCTGTCTCAAAAAAAAAAAAAAAATGAAGATTAAAAAATAAAGTCAGCAGAGTGCTGACATCAGAGTCTGAAGTTATATATAATATAACTCCTCTGTGGAGGAGGAGCTGAGGGGTTGAAGGCCTGTTAGGCACTCTCTCTGGCAGCAACACAGGAAACCAAATGAAGCTCTAAGTGGTTCTTGAAGTGGAGTGGGAAATTTGAGAAGTGCTTCAAAAACAGAATGGACACAATTTGATAACCAGCATGGACACAAGGAGCGAAATGATTCCCAAGATGCAGCAGTGGACACAGGATGCTGGAGCTGCAGATGAGGGAAGGAACCCCTCACATTAACCAAGCAGTGACCTCTTCTTTAGGAACCTCTGTACCCCAGCTTGCTTCAGTGGTTGTCCACTCTTCTAGGCTGCCCTTCCTAGAAGGCTTTTTTTTTTTTTCTTGCTAAAGAAGAGAACACACCAAATTTTGCTTGATGAGAAAATAAATGGCATTACCTGACCCAGATCAAATGTTGTAAACCAGACACCTGGGAGAGTCAATAACCGTGGATTTGGTGGAGGAGCAAGGAGACAGCCCTCGTTTAGGACTTGTTGACACACTGCAGTGCAGGCATTCTCTGTTTCTTCCAGCTGATTGGTATGACTACAGATTATTTTTGTGGGTATGTGTGTTTCACCTGAATACATGTAAATGTACCACATGGGTGTGATGCTCACAGAGTTCAGAAAAGAGTGCTTGATCTCCTGGAACCAGAGTTATGGACAGTTGTTAGCTACCATGTAAATGCTGGGAACAAAACCTGGGTCTTCTGCAAGAGCAGCCAGAGCTCTTAACCACTGCCATTTCTCCAGCCCTATGACTGAAAATTTATCTAGTAGTCTGAAGTTAAAATCCATCTCCCTTGATGCATCAACAACCACAATCATTTTGCTTAACAAATACAAGACACATGTCCACTTACTGTTGAGAGCTCTATCAGCATGATGGCCAAGGTCAAAGAGTTGTGAAGGAAGAAACTGTGAGGAATAAGCAAGAGGCTCAGACCCCACCGAAGGCTCCTGGGATGTGAGATTGGCACTGGGGCTCCCACATGAAGCCTGGCATTCTTGTGTAAATTCACTGGCACTCAAAGAACCAGGGCTTAGGAGGCTGTTCAGAAATGAGAATTCCTTCTCAAAATCATCTCCTTCCATTGAGTCCACAGGTAGATCTTTTGCAATTGCTGATTGAAAATAAAAGCAGAAAAGGGTTTGATTTTTTTTTTTTTTTGGAGGATGAGAGCGTAGAACATAAGAAAACCAGCTT